ATTTGAAAAAGACATATATATATAAGACTTAAAAAGTCAGAACATTTTCTCCCAGGAACTCGATGGAGTCTACTACCATTCCAATGTGTGACTCTCCGCTGTCCATGCACAAATCCTCTGTCGAGTCAGACTGTCGCCTAGCCTATACCTGTTCTCCAACTCCCAGCCAAATGACAGATACCCATCCTCCTGATACTATTTCTCCAATCAGACAAGTCTATATATCTTCTACCACTATATACGATCGGGACTCTCCCATCGATCCCCAACTCCATGGTGTACCACCACATAGTCCAGAGCCAAACCTGATTAGCAGCGATGACACACAAACGTTACCATCTTCATTATCTTATCTGTCCACTGCGGCACAATTCTCTTCTCCTTCGGTTACCACCACTTCGGAAAGTACAATTCAAAATGCTCCAGCTCAGCCTGCGATAGAGTGTCGATCATCGAATTTTGTCACTCAGCTGAATCCACAGCCGATGATGAATCCAACAATCATTATAGCGGAGGGAAAGGTTTCTCGTTGGTGTTTTGATGATCCGAACATGAGTTGGAAGGAAATTTTTTGTATATTTTGTCTTGGGTGTATGGAAACAGGGGCAACAAGGAATGAAGGCAAATATCCGTCCTTTGAGGATCCTGTTTAGAGATGAGAATAGAGCATATACTTAGCAGACAAGAATCGCTTGTACATAATCAAGAAAGTGTTCATTGCACATAGAATTTGTAAAGGAATCAGTCAAGTGTCTAACTTCAACCTTTCACAAATTCTTTATGCAAAAAGCCATATCCTCTGAGGACAGAGGGCCAATTATCATTCCCCGCAAGATGTCAGGAGCCATTCCTGTTTCAAGAAATTACCGATAAATAATTAAATAATTATTAGAAATATTTTCAGAGTGCAAAAATCTCTAGAGAGCTCTCTGATAAGATAAGGTAGGAGATTCTGCTTACTCATTGAGCTCAGGTCATATTACAATGAGTCAGAATGACTCTAAATGAATTAACCTGACTCAAAATGAGTCATGGATACTATAAAAGGCTAATGAAGCTTTTGAAAATTTTAAGCGGAGTCAACTAGAGTCAATTGGAGTTGTTGTGAGTCAAATTGCTTAAATAGGAAGTAATATAATTTTTGTAATATAAATACTTGGGGATT